ATCAAGGATCTTCTGTATATGAAATTCCACATAATTGCTAGATTTAATGAACAATCCAATTATTCATCTTACTAGTTATATGAATACTCATAATATATTAAGTAAATTGTAGTTTAAATACATGTATATATATATTTATTCTTTCTCCTTTAATTTAGTCTTTCTTTTCCTATTCCTTTTATTACTAGTGTTAAATTTTTTAAAATCTCTTTAATAACTATAATAATTTTACTTATTTCATATTTTAAATATGCTTTTGTATTTCTTCTCATTGTCTATGATATTAATATGACGGACTGAAAGAGCAATGATAAGCAGTATATCAAATCTTACATAATATAAAAATTTTTGAATTCAAATATGTCACTAATTTTTGAATTATATGTAAGTTGAATTAATGATGTTTAAAACTAAAAGTATTATCTCTATATTACAATAATTTTTTATCCAAAATTATGCAAAAATAATACAAATTATAAAATTAAATTTCATACTGTTTTACTGAAATTTTATTACTTTCAAAGAAAAAGAGAAAAATTCAAATATTTTTAACTGCTGGTAGTTCTTCAGGTATCACTACAACAACATGCTTTGTAATAAGAAATCCAAAAAATAATGTAATTAATATCAGATTCTGAAATACTCCGTAATCACAGAAATTACTACACAAGAAAACATTCATTCTATTAACTTTTTAATTTGAATGAATCCATAAGTATCCATATCCATAAACAATAAAATCCATCTTACAGACTCATAAAATCATCAGCACCTTACTCAAATGATTGTATTAATTTCTATTAAGAGAATATAGGTATTTGAGTAAATATTACAGAATCACATTAAAAAATAATATTACATTTAAATATTTTACAAATTATTTGTTGTTAAGAGTTTTATTTTAAAATAGTTAAAAAGATGAGATTATAATCATTATAATCCATCCCAAGCTTGGTGAATAAGCAAATGATCTGATTAATGAACCAGTGCTACATATATGTTTTCTCATGGAAACAGAGTAATTAATGCCTATGACTCCTTTGTCTTAGATAGTAGATGGATTGCCATTTTAGACTGTTATAACATTTTTTTTTTTCAAGAAGTCTTTCCCAACTTTATCTAGAAGCAGCATCAATATGCAGGGGGGTGTGTTTGTTGAAGGTCATGAAATGTGGGTGGTTACAAGTCTGCATTTAATGTTATGTATTAATTCTAATATACTTGATAATTTTCACAGCTGATATTGTTCTTATAAAAGAATGAAAATATTCCTAAATAAAGTTTCATTTGGTTTCCAGAATTAAGCATTTTTTCTCATCTTTTTGCATAAAGTGCCAAGTGTTATTTTTGTTGATGTACATATTTAATATAAACTACATTGTTGTATATATTAAAATTTAGATGTATTCTTATTATTAGAATTATGTTTTAAGAATTTAAAAAATTTTTATTTTTAAATAATATGGGTCTATCTTGTAAACATATTAGGAAAGTTTTTTCTTTTTAAATACAGGGTGTCCACAAAAACACTCCTTGATTTGACGATGTTATGATATCTAAACTAATTCAAATATATTGATAAAGACATTGTGAATCAATTCTCTAACAATGGTTATTTCATTTTTTTCAAGTAATTACACATCTTTGATTTGAAAAAAACAGGGGTGCAAGGAAATCTAAAAATGGCTGCTGCCCCATAGCAACGTAGCTGGTGTATACTGGAATTTGAAAGATCAAACTGTTGTGACCATGAAACATGCTTTTAGACATCATACAATTCCACCTACACCCAAGTCCATCAAAAATGGTACAACGATTTTAGTCAGAAAGGATGTATCTGTGATCAGAGAAAGGGACATTCTGACCAACCATCAGTCTCAGAAGTTTTGCTGTCAGCCCCAAAGCCAACTAGGTGTTAAGGGGCTCCACCTCAATACAGAGGCTGTCTTGTTTTCCCCTCTAAGACAAGAGGGAAGATTTGTTTCGCTGCTTGTACACAGGTTTCTACTTTGTACTCTATGGAGTACAAGGTCCTGTTTATCGGTTATCGTCTTGTGAGGGATGCTGTACATATGCGCTTAGTGTTAGTCCCATGGCCAACTGACTGTTTAGTGGGCTCAGCCTCTGGTCATAGAGGCTGTTTTGTTTATCACCTGCTCTCCCAAGTCAGGAAGGGTGACCTCTGTGTTTTTTGTTTAGACCTTGTGGCAAATGACTGCAACAGGGTCTTAGTGCCCAATGTACTTACGGCATTTGCATTTAGTATATTTGCCTTTTTCGCATTCTGTAAATTATCTGTGTTTTAATATATAGAACCCAATGGCTGCTCATGGATTTCATGTTTTCACCCTTTCCTGTCTCACTTTTGTTTTTCTTCACTCTTCTCACACTTCCGCTATAACCTTTCATATTTCCTTTTTCAAGGTTATACCGATTGGTGAAGGCCTTCTAATTCTTTGGTTAGTAGTAGTAGTCTCAGAAGTTTGTGACTTCTTTCTTTGGGGGTATGTGAAGAGCAGTTTACATATCACCACTACCTGCAATCCTGGAGAAGCTGAAAATTTCAATCACCGAAGCAGTTCACATGATAACTCCAGATATGCTGCAGAGCATCTGGACCAAACTGGACTATGGTATCAATGTTTGCCGAGCAACCAGTGGAGTGCACATTGAGTGCCTTTAATGCTACCCTATACCATATAAAACTGAATGAAATCCTGTATCTGAAGCTACAAACTGTGAAAGATTATTACAATGAAGTTACATGTTATACCTATTTGAAATCAGGGAGTGTTTTTGTGGATACCCTGTACATTTCACTTATAAATTTAGAACCGAAGCAGTTCACATGATAACTCCAGATATGCTGCAGAGCATCTGGACCAAACTGGACTATCGCATCAATGTTTGCCGAGCAACCAGTGGGGTGCACATTGAGTGCCTTTAATGCTACCCTATACCATATAAAACTGAATGAAATCCTGTATCTGAAGCTATCTGTAGCTTCTGATGTTTGTAGCTTCAAACTGTGAAAGATTATTACAATGAAGTTACATGTTATACCTATTTGAAATTGGAGTGTTTTTGTGGACACCCTGTACATTTCACTTATAAATTAGAAATAGAATATTTTTGAAGATTAAAATGCATTGTTATATTTATTATATTATTTCAAATTCCTTTGGTCCTGAAGCTGTACTAAATGTCAGAAAATTAACAGATTGTTCTATAGTCTTTTGAAAGTAATAAAATTCCCATGAAGCAATTAATATAAAACTAATGATTAGTTACGAGACTGTTAATGTGAAATTAAAATAATAGATAAAACAAATGTAACCATTATGAAAACTTACTACCAAAAAAAATAGATAACAATCTAAACTATTTTAGAAGCAGACACTATAAATGTCTACTTTAAAAAAGTTTTAATAATTTTTTTGGTCTCGAAATTTTCAATTTATTGGTAATTTGAATATTTACTAAACAAATACAAAATATTAATGTGTCTATAATAAAATACTTCAATTTATTATAGGTATATTTTAATAAAATAAAACTATTTATAGTTTTAAAATTTAAACAATATTTAAATTAACAGTAAATAATATTTTTATATATTTCAATACATTATCAAGTATAAAATTAAATGAAATTTTTCTAACGTTTAATACAAATTAACTTATTAATAATTTTAATTAATCATCATCATCATTTTTATAAGACAACCACAACTTCATTGACATTTATTTCATTACACTATTTGAATACTGAAAAATTCATACTCTTACTATAAAATACTGGTTAATATCAAATTTATTCAATGACATCCAATTTAAACTGCCTTGAACATTCTTTTACCATTATTAGTTGTTATTTTTAAGTAAAATAAATTATATTGCAAACCTAAAAATAAAAGATTAACAAACTTTAAAAATCAATTTGTTTTTACTTCAATTAAGAAAGTATAATTTTTTTGTAAATTTCTCCTTACTTTCTATATATTATAATTAATATTTTTAAAATTTTTTTTAATTAATTAACTCTTATAAATGTTCTATATTAGTTTAATTGTTTTTTAGAATATAAGATCAATTATTCAATCAATCAAGTTTTTCTTTCACAAATAAAACACCTAATTAAGAAGACATATACACTAGTATCATCACATCCATAATTAAAGCAAAAACAACTCCAACTTCTTTAAAAAATATAAAAACAATAAAGTTACTTCTGTATTAATTACAGACACAACAATCCAGTCAAAAAGTATAAGACGACAAAGGTGATTGATACAGCTAAAAGGACAATTAATATGCCTAAATAAAATTATTCCCTAGTAGTAACATATTCAATAACAATTGATAAACATCACAATGACATCAGCTCATGAAAAAATATTTGTTAAGGATAAAACTAAATATATACGATGATATGTCAGATAAAGAAAATATGATGATTTGACCAACAAGCATAATCTTATCCGGATCATAAAAAGTACACGAAAGACGAAGATATCGATACGATAAATCATCATCGTCATTACATACTTTCAATATCTTTCTATTCAATTATAAATTATTAAATCAATTTTCTAATGAACTAGGGATTTTTTATAAAAGGAAATACAGTAGTTTATCTCCTTATATATCAAAAACCAATTTCAATTACTGTAAACTGAGTTGTATGTAGTGTATATGGCTTTTATAATATAGATCATTACCCAATGTTTAAGTATACAGTAAATAATAGCTGTGAATATATTAAATGAATATTAAATCTTACCAATTATGATGTCAGAAAAAAAATCTCCTGGTTTACAAAACTGAATTTTTTAGATTGATGGATGATTCATCGCATATTTCGTCTTAAGAAATTTTACATTTAAATATGACGTAAGTTGTGGATTTTTATTATCAAATCAGCGTCAATCAAGTTTAATTTTTAAAGGACACATTCTTTAACCCTAATATTAGGCCTACACTTTTTATGATTTTACTTACCTCCTGGAATGATCGATTTAAAAATACATCTTGGTCGAAACCTCTAGCGCCTTATTTCGCCAATGGATTGTATTTTTGAATAAAGAAACAAAATTAAACTTGATAAATATCTGACGTCCGAAAGCACGAGTGGTTCATTTTACATTTCTAACATAATTATTATTGATAACACTACCGCTACCTGGTGTCTATATCGTAAAGCAGTTTCCGATCCTCGTATGTACATCGACGGTCATTTTTTTTTCTTCGTTTGTCTATCGTAATTTTCTGCCTTTTCGTAGATTTGAAAGGCGTATTTAAAACAAATTCAAGCTAAATAATAATTTTTTAACCATGGAAAAAATACAATGTAATCGAAGCGACCTACATAACTGTTATTAAATATTTAATCGTGTCACGGATTGCTTTGAATATATTATATTTCGTAGTTTTAATCTTAATTTACTGTATAAATATCTGCAGACAAATCAAACCGACATAAATTAATAAATACTGAATTTATAATTAATTAAATATTTAATGATATCTCGATCATTAAAACTAACAACAGGATGGATCTATACATTTACCTGTTTTACTAGATTTACATTTATCTCAGTCTATAAATTATATAATAAATTTATTTTATATTACAACATATATTTTCTGAAATCATATATACAATATATATATTATATATTAAAGGAATGTTTTTATTATATTTTTTATAATTTACTTATATTTGATTATATTATAGTGTGTACAGAGAGCATAATACATTCAATAATAAGTATTTACTGTACAGTATGTTCTACTATTTCATTAAAAAATATATATAAGCGTATTGCTTTTTCGTACGATAAGTACAGTAATTACAATTATTATTTCATTCATACAACTATTGAATCTAGCAAACAATTTTATAAATATTGTAACAGATCCAGCAACATTTTTTTTAAACTATTTGCCCTGTAGGCACTAAGAGGACCTTTTGTTTTAGCAAGCCCATTTTGGATTCGGCTAGGCCCACAATGGGGTGGCCGGATAGAGAGGGACGAGGCAGGCATATCTGGCCGGACCACCCTTCGAAAAATTCCTGAAGTTTTTAACTGTCTTTGGGTCCGCCGGAATAGTAGGCTGCTACCTTAACCGCTTGGCCATCCGAATGACAATCCTGAAGCTTATAGTGTGCCATCAAAATAATATAAATTTAAACACACTTTGCAATGATGATACTGCACATTATAAATGAACATTTTATTTATAATGTTCTATAGTAACTAAAAATACAATAATGTAATCAGAATTTTACGAAATATTTCAAGGTTAGTGAAATAATATGTAACTAGTTTTGGATTGTAAAATCAAAAACTTTTCCACTAATTTAAGCAGGTGTATTACTGCTTTTTCTGCAATTTATATATAAAATATGAAAAATCTAATATGGATGTATTTTATTTATCAATTAATTACAGTGTAAAAAGAAAAAAACCTATTTCAGAATTATAAGCTTCGGTGTTAATTATGTAAGAAATAATAAATTTATCTGATATATAAAGTACATTAATTTAGTGTATTAACAATAATTATTCAGGAATTCTGCGATTATGCCCTCTGCCCTGCAAATTCTCGAGAAAAATTTAAAATCTTTATAATGTCAAAAATAAATTTATTACCGTAATATTGATAACTTGTAACATTTTTCAACCAATAAAAAATTTAACATAATTTTGTTCATTTTGTAATAAGGTACAATTTTTTTCTGCTTACTTACTTCAAAATATATCCCAATATCACAGATAATCCTTCCTTTGGCATGTTTTTGACAATCCAAAACTTTATTGCTTCTCGAAGATTTGCTTCTTTGGCATTCGTAACTCTGACACGTGAATTTCTTTAACTACACTGGTATTTCGGTCAAATGCTCAAAATTATTGGAAAGTCTCTTCCTTTTCATTTTTAAAATCTTAAAAATTCTTTAATTTGTCGTATCACGCTTTTGATTCCTATGATATGGGATCCTTTGATACATACCATACGTATTATGAATTGTTTGACCCCGTGAAATGTTTGAAAATTTTACAGAGCTGAACACAAGTAATTGGCTCTTTCGACATCGAAAAACTAGAAATGCCTTTTTGGTCTGTAATTTGATTAATGGCCTATGACGTGCAATGTCTTAGCGTTTTCGATTCTGTCAATATATGAATTCTGAATGTTCATTTACATTCTGAAACAGAAAATATATTGACAACAGACGACAATTCTTTTTTCTGCAACTTTCTTAGATCTTAATTTAAATAATTTTGGATATTTCGTTTTGTCTTTTATACCATTTAAACAAACAAAATTGTGTTAAATATTTTGATTAAATATAAATTCTGCAAATAAACAGTTGTATTTTTGTTTCATGCAGGATGAAGATATTGGAGAAGTTCAGGAGTTGGTGATGTAGCCTCAAAGTCAGATTTGACAAAGGAAATGTGGTCAACAGAATCTATAAAAGTGAGGAGTTGGCCTATGTCTTTGCTCTCCTCACTGCCATGCTGGAAAATTCAAGTTCAGGTAATGTTTGATGGGCTACAGAGATTGTACGGACATCACGTCATTCCGGGTTCTGGCAGAGATCTTTACTCAACTGGACAAGATTCGCCCAGTCGGAAAGATATGTGAGACATGCAGGGCTGAGTGCAGCAGAAACTCTATCCAGACTGTATGATCGTGACGAGCAGCATTTGGTACAATCCGAGGATCTGATGAAGTACATATTGTGGAATTCCAAACATGTGGTGGTGAAAACTATTCTTTGTCATCCACAAGAACTGGCACCTGTGAAAAAGTTCACAGACTCACTCACTTTCTCGCAGTGCTTCCTGCTTATTAATTTCCAGGATGAAAACTGGTAGCGATGGAGCACATCTTAAGAAGGCTGCTAACTTCTGCTTAGAAGCAGCATATTATCGTTTCTTTGTTGTTTAAGATGATGTAGTCATACTACAGAAAATTGTGGGGTGTGAGGATTAAAATGAGGAGGAGACAATTGGTTTATTTTTTCTCTTTTATTTATTACTAATCTAGATGTAAGATAATGGAGGATTTTCCCCCTGCTTGCTATACCAATACTTTGGACTTACTTCAAATCCAACCACCGAAATAACAATAATGCCGACTTTTCTGACAACACAATTATCGCATCCATTTGCCTACATTCTATTTGCATACCACAACAAACCTATATCAATAATAAGTAATTTGAATAAAACTTGAACACTGATGCACGTCTTTTTTTACAGTAATGGTTTTTTGCTGTTAAATTTTTAACTCGGCTCTACAGACTAAGAGTTCAGCATTTCCTTCACAGTTGTTTGGCCGACATATCCGGAACATACCATCCGAGAATTTATAACTAAACAACAGTGACGTAGCATGGGTGTCAGCCGCCCGGGGCGGAGGAAAATTTCGCCGCCCCCTTATTTAGGTATCTCAATTTAAAAAATAAAATTCAGTTTCGTCACAGAATAAGTAATGAAAAATTCCGTGCTAGTGTTGCCACCTTTTTAAAATCGCTGACCCGGACGGCAGGTGAGGTTTGTTCGAACAGAAGTTCCTGACGCATGCGTATATCATTTTGCAATGCGAAGAATAATTTGCAGTGCATGCTGGTTCTAGATGATGTACAGTTAGCGACTAGAAAGACTTGGATAGGAGTAACGCAAGTGATCTAGCTCTATTGGATATTGGAGGTGTATATGATTGCGAATGAACCGTACTGTACAAGCAAAAAAAAAAATGTCGACAGGTCGCGCACAATATCTCCGGACGGCGAGTCGGATGGTAACACTATTCCGTGCTAATTTCAATCGGTCCGAATCGTAGGTGGACGAAATATGAAATCAAATGGTTCGAATTCTTACAAGATATTATTATTATTTATTATGAAATTTTGCCGCCCCCTAAAAAGTGCCGCCCGGGGCGAGCCGCCCCTGCCGCCCTCCCTACGCTACGCTACTGGATGAAACGCTAAATATCGTTGAGAAGGGTCTAAAAATATGTTCGATTTCTTGCATAAATGCAGAAATGACATTTAAAATGGAATAGTAGAAACCTTATTCTTCACGGTGGCGAAAAAACAAGAATAATAAAGACAAAGGAAATCGAAAATTACAACTTACGTTCGGCCGAACGTCGGAAAAAGCAGTTAGAAGTAGCAAAATTTCCGGAACCCATAGCTCTGGAAAAAACACTCTGATCCGGAAAAGAAGAAACGCCGTTGGAGACAGTTCGACGAAACGAATCAGAAAATGTATTTATATGCAGAAGAATAGAGAAAACTCTCGAAGAAAAACTTTGCGAAACGAACAACTGAGGTCTTGGATGACTGCTCAATCGATACTTTTTGTTTTTCTGTTATTCTTGCACTGCAAAAAACTGTTTGTGTTGATTGGAACCGAAGAAAAATTTTCAGTTGCACGTCAAAAGTCGAAAAGTGCAAACATTATTTCCGGACTCTTCAAACATTCTTTATTTTTTTCATCATTTATAATTTACGTCTTCGGGTTGGTTCAAAAGATACGATGCAGCCATTCCTCCCTATTCAGTGTTGTCATTTTCCTAAACATATCAAAAGCAAATGGCCGAAATAAAAAATCTAACGGCAAAATTTCAGAAATTTTTAAAATTCTTAGCAAATATTAAGCTTTAAATTTCGTACAAAATATCTTGCCCCCACAGACTATTATTGATTTTTACATCACGCTATGGGAGAAACCCCTGAATTGCTGGCACTGCATCTGCTAATGTGTGCGTATCGTCCACTTTTACATTGGAATCAATGGAAACGTTTGGCTTTGTTCGGTGCCGTCGTTAGAGTCGGGCAACGGGCCAAGTGTCTAAAGGAGGCCCGCCCTTCAGGAGTCTAGTTTTTTGGTTTTTAAAGTTTTCGCGGTAATGTGACGTTGTGCTCACAGGAAATGCATTAAACCACAGTAGCTTCCTTGTATCACGTTTAAGTATTTATAACGCAGAATATGGTAAAAAAAATTCTTCTTGTATTCGGATAGAGAAAACGAGAACGTTTATTTGATTACCAAGAAACGGATACGCGTACAAATAATCCCGAAACAGTTGCATAGGAACTGTTGTTTTTAGCAATAATATACCAAGGAATAATCTGTACTTTTTGAAGAGCAAAGGGCCATTTTTGGTTGCCTTCGCAACATTTCTATATTAAAGACGAGGACGACCTTATGAATCATTTATGCATTTAGATTTAGCATCGAATAACGAATATAATCGGGATATAAAGGTGACGATTCATAAGACGAAATTCGAATATTTCGTGTCTACGCTACATTGATATAACTAATGAGACTCTATTACAATGTGTGAATACCTTCCCGAATCTATTGTCCATACAACACAAATATGCGAAAAATTCGATTTTGACGACGTAGTTAAGGATTTGGCACTGGCTCCCTTAATCAAAAATAGGAGCCAAATGGAATAACAGGGCTAACGAGAAGTGTATCTTAGACAATGCGATTATTGCTTTAAAACCAGTGCACCTGTCTTCGCTTGCAATAGCAAAATTAACGTATGGTTAGAGTTATAAATTCAAACACTTCTGGTGAGAAAGATTTGCCACAACTTCACAAATGTTCAGCCGATTTTCTATTAAATTAAGCGTATAAAAACTTGGAGGGAAATAAAGGAATTTTAGCACGACTTTCCTGGTGACATTAAGCATCAGTTTAATTAATATTCAAGTTGCCGACTAAATAGTTATTCGGCGGGTGTGATTCATCAGATTCACGTTACAATACACGCTTTGTTTTATAATTATGTATATGGAATCATTTCTAGAAATGGCCATTAAATAACCATCTCTCCCGATATTACGGTATAAATATCAAGTTGTTGTTGTATTTTCGCCAAGTATTTGCTTTAATTTCGTTTTATATTCCCGTGTAAGGTCTTGGTTAACGCAAAATGTCTATATTTACACGTTTGTATTTCGTGCCGCCATCACGTCAGCACCACCACGTGCATTTTTCGAACCGTCTCTATTCTAACCCCTATCCCCACACCGGTGTGACGTGGCTTTTTAATCTTTATTATACACGCGTCAGATTCTGAAATTATAATAAAAAAAAAATCCAAAATTCTTCATTAAATTCCCGCTTTTTTTAACGCGTAACAAACGAATTCAACAATTGATGTTGTTGTTGTTGCGTAGTTTTGCTCTTGGACGAAGAGTGCGATTTGGAAAGCGATTCGAAGATGTTTTTTGATGGTAGAGAGTATCGACCCCTGCCCCATCCTCCTGGGTAAGAGATTGTTTTACATTTCATTACTATTTATTCGGAAAAGAAATTGGTTTTAGCTTCTTTAAAGGCTTTAAAGAAAAACTTCCGTCTACAATATATAATTAGGCCTAATTAAATTAAATGTAAAGATTGAAACTTTACGATTTTTGTGTCTTCCTGTATTACTGTATTGCAATAGAGGGCTTTATAAGGCACAGTTCGGTGTTAAGAAGATAATTTAGGGCTTTTCAATTTACTGTTGTTTAAACGAGTAATCGGGTCTCTTTTATATCACGGATTAGGTCGTTAATATGACGAAATTTATTAAAATTTTAAACCCAACTTCGTTTCAATATGTTCAATATGTCAATTATAATATTCAATATGTCTTTTTTTAAAATAACAGAAAAAGATTTAGACTAGTCGATTTATAAAAGGCCCTTTCCTTCTGTCTAATAAACTTAAAAGCACGAGGATCTAATTAGTTTGAGAATAGAATTAAATAATTATTGTATTGTGAATTTTCTCTTTGCATATTTAGGGAGGGATTGGATGTGGATGTGCGAAGATTCGTCAGTCCACAAAATTTGGATTATGTTAAGTTTCGAGGCAGAAAGTTGAAGAAAGGCCTCTCGAAGCAGTACGGACCCTCGACCGGTGCTTTCGAAGGTCTGGACGTTTTTGAAAATAACATCAAGCCTGCTTATAGAAAAGCTGTGATGAAGGTTCGACCAATCTGTCAGACGGCCTGCCAACGTTATAACAGGTAAATTACATTACTGCTTGTATGTAATAAACTTGTGTATATTATATGTACGAGCTGTTTAACGAGGGGTTATTCTGAGAAATACGAGGAGTCATCGTTTTAATTTTTCGATAAATAGTAATAAGTTTAATAGTTTCTTGCCCTGATGGGAAATTAAAGAAAATGTTTTCCAAGTGTTACTATTTATAAATATTCATCGTAATTCAATTCCAAAATTATATATTTATTGTATTTCTTTCCTTGTTTAGTGAGAGATTGGTCGAAGATGTGGAGGATGAAGGAGTGAATAATAGAGAGAGCGTGATTCCTCCACGAAGCACCAAAGACCCGGCAGAGCACGAAGATTGCGTGCAAGATAACCCTGGCCATTCCAGGGATAGAAATACATTGAAGAAAGTCGGGTCGTTCTTTAAGAGCATGTGGAAACCCGTTAAGAGGTAAGATTTTGTGCGCGTAAGTGTGGCGCTAAGCCCAAGTATCGATTAGGCCAAAAATTTTTATAGCATTAAGATTTGAGTTGGAAATGTTTGCGAATCGCATAACTTTCCCGTATTGTTCGGCGCTGTATCGGCCTATTCGTCCGTGTCATTACTGATTGGATGAAAAGTTGAATTCAAAACGTCACCGAACCAATGAATTAGTAGAAAATTTCGTAATCCAACTTTCGTTCTTTGTAGGCCAACATTTACAGCCCATCGATACAGCGCCGCAATATGTTTTAATGAAATTCAAATGGAGTTATACGTTTTCCATGAATAATTATACTTCTTTTTCTACATTTAGATCCGTGCAGAAGGTGTGTAAAATGGCCAGAAGTGGAGAATGCGAGTACGTTCGGTTCGAGTAAGGATCTCTTTGCTTCCATCTGTCAAACTCGACAATAAGATCTGCTCTGTGATTAGCTGGATCTGGGCAGAGTTGGCTAATTGTAAGTGTGTATGGCAACTTTATTGTATTCTACACCAAACACTTGGGAGATTTTACGGTCTGGGTTTATAAATTGATACAATATCTAACCGCGATTTCATAATAACCCGCAATTAATGGCCGGACAACAGAAAAATTGGAAATATTTATGTATACGGTATTAGCGTGGAAATGTATTATATTTTGATGCGATCGATTTCGATGCGATTACAGAAAAGCCACGTTTTTAGGGTATCGGGCATACACAGCCTGTATATTCCTGTCCAAGTACTCACAATAATACATCCTGGCTATAAGTTGCTGGTCTCTTGACACAGCGAAAGCAATGGTATAACTGAACGTAGAAATTAAATTATCCAGTAATCTTACGTGATTACGCGGACGGGAACATGTTAAAATAATGGAATTGACAATGACATACTTGTTACACACATGACACGTGGCAGTATGCAATTAATTGCGGTAAGCGATATCATTTGGCACGTGACTTTATTTCCATTTTAGAAGGAAATAATATTCTTAATTTTGTTTTCATTTAAAAATATTCAAAAAGTAACAAAAAGAAATGATAAAGTTTAAAAATTAATAAATAAAATCTAAAACGCTCCTAAAAATTGCAAAAATAATTTTCAATTTATAAGTAAAAATTAAAATATTGGTTTTTCATTCACTTTTAGATATGGTTTTTTCTGCAAACCATCGATGACTTCTCCTGATTTTGACATCCCGATTGCGTCAATGCCAAGTTCGATTATGACTTCCCAATTTTGACTTTATCCCGGCTGTGTCTCCTTATTATTGTCTTTTAGTCAATTATCATTTACCCGAATTGGTCTACACGAATTTGGACTCTCGATTTATGTCTACTTCACGAATCTGGACTCTCCCGAATTACGTCTACCCCGAATTTGACTCCTCAATTGTGCCTGTACTCGAATTGGACTCTCCCGAATTATGTCAACCCCGGATTTGACTCATGAATGGTGTCTGCACTCGAATATGGACTCTCCCGAATTACGTCTATCTCGAATTTGACTTCAGAATCCTGTCTATATTGGAATTTGGACTCTTCCGGCTTGTGTCTGTGCTCAAATTTGACTCCCAATTTTTGTCATCCCTGGAACTTGGACTCTCCGGAATTGTGTTTTAATTTGTTATTGGAACGACACGCTCAACAAATTGATATTTGTTATTCAGACACTAGTAAAAGGATTAATTGCAAAACAAATTTTTTATACATAAAACGTTTGATAAATTAATTGATTATTAATATATTAATTAATAATTTTAATCTCAATTATAAATTGTTGTATATTTATATTTGTAAAACATTAATAGTAATTGTTACGGCCTAATTAAGGCATCCAAGCGATAGTCGAGAGCTCTCGCACACATTAAAATATTAATTAATAATTTTAATCTTAATTATAAATTGTTGTATATTTATATTTGTAAAACATTAATAGTAATTGTTACGGCCTAATTAATGCATCCAAGCGATAGTCGAGAGCTTTCGCACACATTAAAATATGTGTTCGGACCTATATAAATGTTATTAAAAGTCTGTTTAAAAGTGCCTCGATAATGAATAAAACTTATGAAATTTGTAAAAACATAATGTTTAAAATAAAACAGTTTCTGCAGATCTAATCTTTTTCTGTTCTTTTGTAAGCGCATTCCTTTTAAGAAAGGATAATTTTAGAGAAACAGTTAAAATGGCAAAGGCACACTTGCCACTCCGAGGGTTTTATTTATTTATTTTTTCACTCGCTTCTCTGGGCACTAAGAGAGCCTCTTTATTTAGCGAGCCTGTTACGGGTTCGGCCAGGCCAAACACATCGGAAGGACCACCCTGAAAGATTCCAAAGGTTTTTTGACCGTCCGGATTCGATCCCAGTTCTCTGGAGCAGTAGGCTGCTGCCTTCTCTAATTAGTCATACATTACTCCGAAAGGATATGAATCTATGGCCGAATGGTATAGTTGTCAGCTTGCCATTGGCGATAATGCACCTGTTTGGCAAATTATTTTTCATGAACATCGTGATAGGGAACAAAACTAGTGTTTTCCTTTAATTTTTTCACATGAAAAAATGTTTTTAAAGCCCAAAAATAGTACAAAAAGTGAAACTTTGTGAAGTTAATATGAACATGTAAATGAAAATTAAATGAACCAGATTTCTTTATGCTCAGGATGTAAATTAGCAACTTATTTCGACGTATTTAAGCAGAGAAGTAACTTTTACATGTTATATGTATACGTACAGTACATACATACTAATGAATACAGGCATACCTCGACTTACGTCGTTTCGAGTTACGTCGTTCCCGATTATACGTCGCTTGTTAAAAAAGTATTTGAAAAAATAAAAATCAAGTTTAAGTCATTTTATTCGACTTTACGTCTGTCCGCCACAAATATTGAAGTCGTAATATCACTAGATAAACGTTTAAAGCACATAAAATCATATTAAAATATATACAAGTATGTACTGTATTTACAGTACGCGCATTCGTAAATTTAGATTATTTTTTTTGTACTATATTAAAAACTAAAATTTATTTGTTTGTAAGCTTAAAATAGATTTTTATTAACCATATATTATTTAAAATGCTTTCCTAGTGATAAGTAGATTCAGGTAGATACAGGGTGTTTAATAAAAGAATTGAATTGAAATTGAATTGAATTGAATCAGTTGCCAGATCGACGACGTTTTCTGACGGTTGACCGTTTGACAGGCAAAGTCGAAACGATACTGTATGCTGCACATTTGTGAGACGTTCTGTCGGATAATTGGCCGTAGAGTTGTCTTGTTGTGCGCAGCATGTGGAACGCTCGGACTTCGTGCTTACCGTTTGGGTACCAGCTTGCCAACTTGATTGTTTGGCTGTAACGTAGCGTAGGGAGGGCGACAGGGGCGTCCCGCACCGGGCGGCACTTTTTAGGGGGCTGCAAAATTTCACAATAAATAATAATAATAAGCAGATAGCTAAAAATTTTATACTTACTTGTTAGTATCAAAATTTAATTGTTGCACTCGGTGAAAACGGGTAAGATCGGCTATAATCTACTAACCTTAATCTTTGCTATCGTTACTTTTCCCGAGCAACGCCGGGCACATCTGCTAGTTCACAATAACAGTATTAGCAACACCCCCGAATCTCGAGTATTTATGGGTCGTCGTTGATCAACGCCTGACGTCGCCTGGCTTAACCCGCAACAGGCTTGCTAAATAAAGAGGCCCTCTTAGTGCCCAGAGAAGCGAGTGAAAAAATAAATAAATAAAACCCTCGGAGTGGCAAGTGTGCCTTTGCCATTTTAACTGTTTCTCTAAAATTATCCTTTCTTAAAAGGAATGCGCTTACAAAAGAACAGAAAAAGATTAGATCTGCAGAAACTGTTTTATTTTAAACATTATGTTTTTACAAATTTCATAAGTTTTATTCATTATCGAGGCACTTTTAAACAGACTTTTAATAACATTTATATAGGTCCGAACACATATTTTAATGTGTGCGAAAGCTCTCGACTATCGCTTGGATGCATTAATTAGGCCGTAACAATTACTATTAATGTTTTACAAATATAAATATACAACAATTTATAATTAAGATTAAAATTATTAATTAATATATAAATAATCAATTAATTTATCGAAAGTTTTATGTATAAAAAATTTGTTTTGCAATTAATCCTTTTACTAGTGTCTGAATAACAAATATCAATTTGTTGAGCGTGTCGTTCCAATAACAAATTAAAACACAATTCCAGAGAGTCCAAGTTCCAGGGATGACAAAAATTGGGAGTCAAATTTGAGCAAATTGGGAGTCAAATTTGAGCACAGACACAAGCCGGAAGAGTCCAAATTCCAATATAAATAGGATTCTGAAGTCAAATTCGAGATAGACGTAATTCGGGTGAGTCCAAATTCGAGTTTAGACACCATTCATGAATCAAATTAGGGGTAGACGTAATTCGGGAGAGTCCATATTCGAGTGCAGACACCATTCATGAGTCAAATCCGGGGTTGACATAATTCGGGAGAGTCCAATTCGAGTACAGGCACAATTGAGGAGTCAAATTCGGGGTAGACGTAATTCGGGAGAGTCCAGATTCGTGAAGTAGACATAAATCGAGAGTCCAAATTCGTGTAGACCAATTCGGGTAAATGATAATTGACTAAAAGACAATAATAAGGAGACACAGCCGGGATAAAGTCAAAATTGGGAAGTCATAATCGAACTTGGCATTGACGCAATCGGGATGTCAAAATCAGGAGAAGTCATCGATGGTTTGCAGAAAAAACCATATCTAAAAGTGAATGAAAAACCAATATTTTAATTTTTACTTATAAATTGAAAATTATTTTTGCAATTTTTAGGAGCGTTTTAGATTTTATTTATTAATTTTTAAACTTTATCATTTCTTTTTGTTACTTTTTGAATATTTTTAAATGAAAACAAAATTAAGAATATTATTTCCTTCTAAAATGGAAATAAAGTCACGTGCCAAATGATATCGCTTACCGCAATTAATTGCATACTGCCACGTGTCATGTGTGTAACAAGTATGTCATTGTCAATTCCATTATTTTAACATGTTCCCGTCCGCGTAATCACGTAAGATTACTGGATAATTTAATTTCTACGTTCAGTTATACCATTGCTTTCGCTGTGTCAAGAGACCAGCAACTTATAGCCAGGATGTATTATTGTGAGTACTTGGACAGGAATATACAGGCTGTGTATGCCCGATACCCTAAAAACGTGGCTTTTCTGTAATCGCATCGAAATCGATCGCATCAAAATATAATACATTTCCACGCTAATACCGTATACATAAATATTTCCAATTTTTCTGTTGTCCGGCCATTAATTGCGGGTTATTATGAAATCGCGGTTAGATATTGTATCAATTTATAAACCCAGACCGTAAAATCTCCCAAGTGTTTGGTGTAGAATACAATAAAGTTGCCATACACACTTACAATTAGCCAACTCTGCCCAGATCCAGCTAATCACAGAGCAGATCTTATTGTCGAGTTTGACAGATGGAAGCAAAGAGATCCTTACTCGAACCGAACGTACTCGCATTCTCCACTTCTGGCCATTTTACACACCTTCTGCACGGATCTAAATGTAGAAAAAGAAGTATAATTATTCATGGAAAACGTATAACTCCATTTGAATTTCATTAAAACATATTGCGGCGCTGTATCGATGGGCTGTAAATGTTGGCCTACAAAGAACGAAAGTTGGATTACGAAATTTTCTACTAATTCATTGGTTCGGTGACGTTTTGAATTCAACTTTTCATCCAATCAGTAATGACACGGACGAATAGGCCGATACAGCGCCGAACAATACGGGAAAGTTATGCGATTCGCAAACATTTCCAACTCAAATCTTAATGCTATAAAAATTTTTGGCCTAATCGATACTTGGGCTTAGCGCCACACTTACGCGCACAAAATCTTACCTCTTAACGGGTTTCCACATGCTCTTAAAGAACGACCCGACTTTCTTCAATGTATTTCTATCCCTGGAATGGCCAGGATTATCTTGCACGCAATCTTCGTGCTCTGCCGGGTCTTCGTTCTCTTTGGTGCTTCGTGGAGGAATCACGCTCTCTCTATTGTTCACTCCTTCATCCTCCACATCTTCGACCAATCTCTCACTAAACAAGGAAAGAAATACAATAAATATATAATTTTGGAATTGAATTACGATGAATATTTATAAATGGTAACACTTGGAAAACATTTTCTTTAATTTCCCATCAGGGCAAGAAACTATTAAACTTATTACTATTTATCGAAAAATTAAAACGATGATTCCTCGTATTTCTCAGAATAACCCCTCGTTAAACAGCTCGTACATATAATATACACAAGTTTATTACATACAAACAGTAATGTAATTTACCTGTTAAAACGTTGGCAGGCCGTCTGACAGATTGGTCGAACCTTCATCACAGCTTTTCTATAAGCAGGCTTGATGTTATTTTCAAAAACGTCCAAACCTTCGAAAGCACCGGTCGAGGGTTCGTACTGCTTCGAGAGGCCTTTCTTCAACTTTCTGCCTCGAAACTTAACATAATCCAAATTTTGTGGACTGACGAATCTTCGCACATCCACATCCAATCCCTCCCTAAATATGCAAAGAGAAAATTCACAATACAATAACTATTTAATTCTACTCTCAAACTACATTAGATCCCCGTGCTTTTAAGTTTATTCGACAGAAGGAAAGGGCCTTTTATAAATCGACTAGTCTAAATCTTTTTCTGTTATTTTAAAAAAAGACATATTGAATATTATAATTGACATATTGAACATATTGAAACGAAGTTGGGTTTAAAATTTTAGTAAATTTCGTCATA